CGAGGGCCACCGGGGTCCCCGAGGCCCTTGGAGATGCAGTGACGGACAGGGTGCCAGCAGCCCCAGGAGGGACCTGGTCTTCTGTTGTGGGGTTCGGTGAGCGGTTACACACTGCACGTGCAGTCAGACGGTGGAGTGTGTCCCCTCAATCTTCAGGCAAATGGAGTATAATTCACCCAGAATTTCCAAAAAGTGGGGTCCGCATCCCTCAGAAAGCCAGAGCCACAGACTCAGAAGATGGCGAATAAAGTTCAGAAAGCAGCGCTAAGACACCAATATCCAAAAGAATGGGGTGCAGGCTCCCCAGATTCTCAGGTACTGGGGTACAGTTCCCCCAGGCATTCGGGGGTACAGTCTCCGCAGACGAAGGGGCCCAGACAGCCCGAACCAAGCATGACGGGGGCACACCCAGGCTGAGCCCGGAGAACAGGCACGGGGTCCACGAACCTGCAGAGGAGGGGCGCCCAGGCCTGCCCGCTACCCGGGTCCAGTGAGGTGGGGTCAGCACACGGGGCGCTCACGTGCCACCTCTGCACGTCCCACATGCCACGCCAGCAGCCCCCGCCTGCGCGAGCCAGCGTTCGCCCCAAGATCCAGCCTCGGACACCCCCCAGCCGCCTCACAGGAAGCCAGCCCAGGATCCCCGGCCGCAGCGTCTCTGCGGGCGGCAGCCCAGGTGCCTCTGGGACTGCGGGGCCGGCCGGGGCTGCCGGCTCTGTGGCTTCCCCCCCGACCCGATCCCTCTGCCGCCGTCTGGCCACCGGGCGCCCGTGTCCTGGGACAGGCACAAAGGCGCTACACAGCCACTGGGCCCCACTCCAGAGCCCTCAGTGCGGGGGGCCCGGGGTGGCGCCCGCCCACCCGCCTCCCCCAGAGCCGGGCGCCTGCGCGCCCTCACGCCCCTGCACCCCAGCGGGCCTCCGCCTGGCCCCGGAGCTGCGCCGGGCCCCCTGGGCCCCTGTGCCGTCGGCTGCTTCCTCCCAGTCGCATCTGTGGGTCGGACCTGGAGGGAGGCCTGGGCCCTGCCCACGGGGACACCTGCCCAGGGACAGGCGTGCCCCCACGTGCCGCATGTCCCCGGAGCGTCTCGTGACCAGCGTGGGCACACGCACGTGCACACGGCCCGCCTGCTGCGCCCCAGAGCAGCCTCAGAGCCTCCCGCCCAACCGGCCCTACAGGCGGCTGTGGTGTGACAGGCTCCCGGTTAAGCATTAACCAGTGCCACGTCCAGCCACCAGCCGTAATGGCCTCCGAGAGACGCCCTGGCCTGGGAGGGCCACTCAGTGCCAGGCCCTGGGAACGGACCTGACGAGAGAGACTGGCCCAGATAAGTTGGCCAGGGCCTGGGCAGAGACCGCGGGCCCGGCCGGGCCAGTGAAGCCCACGGTTCCGGCCTCATGGAGCAGGGCCGCAGGGCCCGCTGACTCACGGGACTCTGGAAAGGGCCGACCCAGCCAGAGGCGAAGTATGGACGCAAAACCCTCCAGAAGAGTCTCTGGGCTCCAGCTGCCTGGGCGGCCGCAGGGCCGCGCAGCCTCAGACAGGCTCCGGGGGCTGGGTTGCCACCACGGGCCCTGCCCAGCACGCCCAGGGCTCACGGTGCTGGGCGCCAGGCCTCCGTGTGCCTGGTCCCCATGGTCCCCACGGCACCAGACAGTGTTCTCCTTCCAACCCAGACGCTCTCCTGGCTTGGGACACCAGACCCGAGGTGCAGGACCTTCTCAGGCTGACCCCTCTCACGGCCCAAACGGGCCGTCACCCTGTCCACCAGGCCTCTGGGGGGACTCGGGGTGCCCCGGCCCCCGGGGACCCCTGAAGGTGGGCCTGGGTCTCTCAGGAGGCACCCTCCCCCCAGGGGACATCCCGGCCGTGAGGTGGGGCTCCCCGAAGTTCTGCCTCCCACACCCTCTCACCCACCAAGAACTTCCTGGTCACTGGCGCCGAGAGCACCAGGCTCGGCCACAGCTTCTGAGCACCTCGCGCAGGCGCCCGGGTCCTAGGAGAAGGCCTGCGGCTGGCGGGCCAAAGAGCCAGCCGTCAGGTGAGAGGGCGCTACTCCTGGGGGGCTGCCACCCCAACATTTGGGGGACCTTGCTCTTCCCCCGAAAGGCCCACAGAGACTCACTCACTCCCATCAAAGCACAAAGAATTCCGGTTGGACCGAGGTGGGAGGGCTAGTTAGCGTGGCTTTGCCGGGTGCCCACCCGAGGTAACAGTAAAGTCCACAGGAGCGGACCCAGAGGCCCTCTGCCCGGGGCAGCTGGGATGAGGGCTGACTGGGGCAGGGCGCAACCTGCAGGGCAGGTCCGAGGGCCAGGAGTGGCCAGGGAGGGCTTCCTGGAGGAGGTGGGGCTCACACAGCCCCTGAAGGTCGAGTCCGGTGGGGACGGGGACAGGGACGTGGACAGTGTAGGCACGGAGCAGCTGGAGCAGATCGGCCTGCCAAAGGAGAGCACAGAGCTGCGTCTGCACCGTGGCTGGAGGGAGCCCCCCACGGGCGGCGGGAAGGGGGACTGGATGCAGGGGGGGTGCCCGTCCCCCTCTGCTGGGGACATTGGACTGAGCACCCTAGAGGGCTCCGCAGCCAGGCCACAGGGGGTGGATTTCAGGGAGGCCCCAGGAACGGCCGCTGCCTTCTGGGTGAGTGCAGGGAAGGTCCCTTCCAGAGGGAGCCCCAGGCTCGGGAGGGGAGACCCGGCCGCCCTCCCGGGCCTGAGAGTGGGGGTTGCCCTGGCTTGTCCACCTGCCTGGGCTCCTGCTCGAGTTCCCCAAAGCCCCAGGCCAGGTATGGGGAGCATGGCCGGCCCCGCGGAGCAGATGGCGCCACCTGGTGGCCGTGTGCCTGCCCGAACCTTGACCACCATGTGGACCTGGAGGTCCTGAGGGACCCTTTGCCTCCCCAGGCCTCAGGGACGCCCTGCGCTCATGGCCCGGTACCCCCAGGGTCCTGGGGGCCTCTCTGGACAGCTTCTAGGCATCCTGTGGTCCTGGGGGGACAGCCCCCACTTGGCTGGCCCAGGAACCCTGCCCGGCCAGGAGCACCTAACCCCTGTGACTCAGTGCCCTGCCCCAGCCCAGGAGAGGACACCAGCAAAGCGGGCCAGGGAGAGGCACACGCATGCACACATGTGTGCACACACGGCCTACGCGCGTGCACACACGCACACGCAGATGGAGGCTCCGTGCTGACCCCTGGCCCCAACTTCTGGGCCGTAAAACCCCGAGCAGTTCCTTTGACGCCAGAACATACATAGGCGCTGGCAGCCCGCAACGGAAAGTTTGACTTCAAATTCCACACGGGGAGCTGGGCCCCTCGGAACGCGGCTGCTCCCGGGGCGTTGCGGATGCTGAGCCAGCGGGGCCGGGGGCCCTCGCAGGGTGTGCAGGCAGGACGGCGGCCTGCCCTGAGCGCCTCACACTCGTGGGGGGGCCTTACCCAAGGAGCCCCCCACCCGTCAGAGAACGTGCAGCCTCTGGTTCAGAACGGTCAGAATGTCAAGATGGCAGTGGAGGGTGTCAGACCATGCAGGGCCCCCCCAAACCCCTCTCTGTGCTACGGTCCTTGAGGGCTGACAGAGCCGGGCCCGGGAGGCAGGACGCGGGGGGCCTGCAGCCCCTCGCATGGATGTTAGGGGGTCGGGGTGCCTCTGCCCAGCCCGTCGGGGGGAGGCCTCGATGCCATGTTTGTGGGGGGTCACGTCAGGGTCGCTGCCCCTCTGCCAGCTCAGGGCCAGGCTGGGTGGGGGCTGCACAGCTGAGTGCTCTAGCCCGGGTGTTGGTTCTTCTTGGAGGGGGCGGCCTGGGCTGAGCCCCTAAGGCAGGGGGGTGGTAGGCTTTTGTCGGCAAAGAGGGGGACCCCAGGTCGGAGGAACTGTGCCTCTTGGCTGCCAGTGCTCCTGGGGGGTGAGGCCAAGAGGGGCTGAGGCACAGAGCGGCCCCTGGGCCTGGGGTCACGGCGCACCCCACTGCGGCATCGGGGCCCCCGGCTGGAATGCTGGGTCCCTGCCGTGGGTGGGAGGAGCCAGCCTGGCCAGGTGTGCTCCCTCCCCAGGCCCCAGGCAGGTGGGCTGCGCCCGCCTGCCCTCCTTCCTACCCCCTCGCCTAGGGGTGGCAGATATGCAGGTCTGGGCGGGCAGGCTGCTGAGTCAGCCTGCAAGGAACGTTCTGGCCGCTCCCAGCTACACCCTGCCCCCGCCTGCCCCCACCTCGCCTCCTCCCCAGGTGCTGCTGGCCCCGAGCCCGCCCGTGCCAGGAACGCACCTTCGTGCTGAGCTGGCTTAGACCAGCTCCCACTGGCAGCCACACCCGCTCTCAACCCGCCTGCTCCCCCCACGACCCCAGTGGGGCCCTGGCCCCTCCAAGCCCCATCAACACGTTCCCAGGTCACACCTGGACTGGGGGCTCCTTCGCATGTGTGACGGGAAAACCACAGTGGCCCAAGTTTGAGCAGAGATGAGCCGGGTCCCAGCAACGACCCCCAGGCAGGGCCCCGAGCTGGGGGAGAGAGGCCGGGAGCCAGGCTTCCCATGCAGGAGGAGGCCCCGGGACGGGGTACGGCTCTGCCGGGAAGACCAGTGAGGGCAGGGCCCGGGCTGCCCAGGCTGGCCTGCTTGGCCAGGGCTGGGGGCTGGGGAGGTGGCCAGGAGGCCGGGCCTGTGGCAGCTAAGCCGGCACTTTGGCCAAAGCCCAGGGCCTCCCTCCCCTTGGCTCCACTCAGAACTGTCACCCCCGGCCACCCTGGGCTGCCTCCTTGCTCAGGCAGACCCAAGCTGGCTGCTGCTGGGCAGATGGGGCGGTGGACAGGGTCCCCAGGGGCCCGCCTCACAGGTGATCCGGCCACCACAGCCGTCTCCTCCAAGCCAGCAGGGTAGGGCGATGGGGAGCCCCACAGGCCCATCCGGCACCCCTGCCCCGGCGGGCACCACGGCTGAAACCCGGCTTACTCCAGCCCTCACCGCCGGGATCCCCTGTGAGTCGGGGGTCCTGGGAGGGGCGCGGGGATGGCCCGGGCCAGGGCGGAGCAGCGCTGTCCACGGATGCATCTCAGGCCCGTCTCGGTGCCCACCCCAGGGCCCCGCTGGGCAGTCGTCACGGTCGCCGCCGTGGCTGCGGTCCTCGCCGCTTCCTGCCTCCTCTGTGTCCTCTGCTGTTGCCGTGGCCGACGCACACGCGGGAAAAAGCCCAGGGGCAAGGAGGCCGTGGGCCTGGCCCGTGTCCGCAGCACCGCCACCCCGCACCTGGTGAGCGGGCACCAGCACTCAGTGCCCAGTGCCCGGCCGGGTCAGTCCCAGAGGGCGGCTGCAGGCCCGGGTCCAGGCTCGGGGCGCCCCGGTGAGGTCGGGGGTGACGGCAGCCTCAGGATGGACTGGTCTGCCCAGAAGCGGGGGCCAGCGGGCCTCCCAGGCAGGGGACCCATGAGCAGAATTGGGGGGAAGCCGTGACAGAGCCGGGTGAGAGCAGGGCCCGGGGGCCGAGCTGAGCACTGCGGGGTGCCACTGCAGGTTCTCAGGGGGGCCGTGGTACCAGTCGTGGGTTGGGGGCCGGTCCACCGGTCCTGGCGGGTCTCAGAGCTGAGCTGAGGCCATGAGCCTTCTGGTGGCCTGGCCCGGATGTGGGTTCCTGGCCTGGCAGGTTCGGGCTCCGATGGGGGCCCCAGCAGCCCCTATCCCCAGTGCCTGCCCCCCAGGTGCAGCCGGAGGTGGATGATGTGGGGTCCAGCTCCGGGGACCCCCCGCAGTGGGGGCGTCTGCAGCTGTCTCTGCACTACGATCCGCGAAGCCAGGAGGTGAGGCCAGAGGGTCTGTGGGCTGGTGCAAGGTGGTGGGCGACGGGTGAGCGCGGGTGCCAGGTGCAGGGTGCAGGGTGCACGGCTGACCCGGGTACCGGCGCAGGAGGCCCCTGGCTGAGCCCCTCCTGGCTCCCAGATCAGGGTGGGCCTCAGGCAGGCGGGGGGCCTGAGG